ATGGTCGAAATGGATCCTTTTCAACATCCAATGTTCGATTAACCATCGGAGTACTAAGGGGATTAGCTTTGTCCATATTAAATTGTTTCAATACTCTTTTAGTATAGTTAGATTGATGGACAAATATCCCATTTTGTACTCTTTCTATCTGTAAACCGAGACAATATTTAGTTTTTCCGAGATCTTTCATTTCAAATTCGCCTTTCAAAAAGGTAACTGCTTCTTGTATTTCATTTGTTATCCCAATAATATTAAGGTCATCAACATAGACAGCTATTATCACAACTCCATTATGTGATTTCTTTATAAAGACATACGGACATATTTGATCATTTAAGTATCCCCTTTTTAATAATTGTTCACTCAAACAATTATACCACATACGCCCGGATTGTTTCAATCTATATAATGATCTTTGCAATTTTAACGCACATAACTCTCTTGGGTTAAAGTTTAGTGCTTCGGGCATTCTGATTCCTTCTGGGATTTATATATATATATATATAATTATATATATATATATATATATATATATCAGTGTCTAATGATCCATACAAATAAGCAGTTACAACATCCATGAGACGCATCTCAAGATTTTCATGGATAGCTAAACTCATCAAGTATCTGAAAGTAATTGCATCCATGAGAGGGGAATATGTATCATCATAATCGATCACAGGCCTTTGGGAAAATCCCTGTGCAACAAGGTGAGCTTTATATCTCGTGATCTCATTTTTCTCATTTCTCTTTCTCGTGAAAATCTATTTGTATCCAATAGGTTTTATGTCTTTTGGTAGAATGGAAATAGGCCAAAAAACTTTTCGTTTACTAAGTGAATCTAACTCGGCTTTGATAGCACCTTTCCATTTTTCCCAATCATGTCTTTTCTAACATTCAGTTACAAATTTTGGTTTAGGATCCTCAACTTCATTTTCAATTTCTTTCGATACCATATATGCAAATGCATCATCAATATTTGTGATCTCATCACGCTTCCAAAGATTTCCATTATTTACGTAATTGATGGAAATTTCAATGTTTTCATTCTGTCTCTTTTTTCATCATCTTGATTCTTTTCCAAATTCAGGTCACAAATTTCTCTTTTCTTTCGAGGATTCTTATCTTTAGACCCAATTGGTCTTCCTCGTTTCCAGCGTGTCTTTGACTCATTTGGCACATCATCATTTGTCATTTCTTTTGGAATCTCAATTTGAGTAGGGGCATTCACAGCTGCCACATGTGATTTGGTCACCCTTTTTAAATCAGTAAATGCATCTGGCAATTGATTTGCAATATTCTACAAGTGTATGATCTTTTGAACTTCTTGCTCTCTTTGTTTGGTGGGAGGATCAAGATATGATAGAGATGATGTTCTCCAATCAATTTTTCTCTCAATTGATTTTTCATTCCCACCTAAGGGGGGAAACAATTCTTCATTAAAATGATAATCATCAAACCGAGCTGTAAAAACGTCATCTGTTTTTGGCTCAAGGTATTTGATTATTGATGGAGATTCATAACCAACATATATTCCCAACCTTCTTTGAGGCCCCATTTTTGTACGTTGGGACGGAGCAATTGGTACATATACTGCACAACCAAAAATTTTTATATGTACAATATTTGGTTCTCGACCATACGCCAACTGTAATGGCGAGTATGTATGGTATGCACTTGGTCTTATTCGAATTAGATCATCTGCATGCAGAATAGCATGTCCCCATACTGAAGTGGGGAGTTTTGTCCTCATTATCAATGGTCTAGCTATGAGCTGCAGTCGTTTAATTAATGATTCTGCTAGACCATTTTGAGTATGAACATGTGCCACAGGGTGTTCAACATCAATCCCCACTGCCATACAATAATCATTAAATGCTTGAGATGTAAACTCACCATCATTGTCAAGTCTGACCCTTTTGATAATATAATCTGGGAATTGAGCCCTTAACTTGATAAGTTGGGCGAGTAATTTAGCAAATGCCACATTTCGAGTTGATAACAAACTCACATGAGACCATCTACTAGAGACATCAATCAACATCATAAAATATCTGAATGGACCACAAGGTGGATGAATAGGTCTACATATATTACCATGAATCCTTTCCAAAAATAATGGTGATTCTTGTCCGACTTTAGTATGTGATGGTCTCAGTATCAATTTCCCTTGAGAACATGAGGCACATGTCAATTCATGTGTTTGCAATATCCTCTGATTTTTCAGTGGATGACCACTAGAATTTTCAATAATTCTTCTCATCATTATCGAGCCAGGGTGACCAAGTCGATCATGCCAAAGTTTAAATGTTTCATTCGGCTTTGAATTGGTTGCTGCATAAGCCTCAATTATATTAATCTGGGTGTAATACAAACTCGATGATAAAGCGGGTAATCTCTCCAAAATACATTTATTTTTCGCAATATTTGAGGTAATGCAAAGATATTCATCTCCCCATTTATTCATAGTCTCAATGTGATATCCGTTTATACGTATATCTTTAAAGCTCAACAAATTTCTTGTTGATTTTGGGTAGAATAGCGCATCATTTACTATAAATTTTGTACCTCCCATCATAAAAAATATGGCTTTTCCAGAACCCTAAATTATCTTTGCAC